CGATGCCAGGAGCCCCTAGTAGCTTCTTGCTCCTAGTAGTAAGGCCAGGAGCCCCTAGTAGCGTCCTTGCTCCTAGGGTTGTGCGAGGTGACCAATTTGCCCAAGGCTCTGCAGGCTGTGGTGCTTGCAGTGAGGGCGAGTGTGCCACGATCGATCCAAGCCTCCAAAATCTGCCAATTGTGCACCGGTTGTGTACAGCACACGCGCCTCCTCTAACTCGTATATACAGCCCATAATGCTGTGAAAATTGTTTCGCGTTGTTGTCTTGGATCAACTCTCAAGTTCTGCCCTCCTGCCTTCTGAGCACAGCACGATCCATTGAGCCTATCTCTCAATCCAGCATCCGAAGGAGGATGCGCCAACCGATTCCTTACGTCATAAGTCCCATTTCAGATAATGCGTCGGACTCCTAGGTGATGAGTGCAGCCTTGACTCCACTGTGGGCGGTTGTCAGCCCAAACCAGACCAAGCTTGTGTTGCATGCACTGCACATGCACAGCTATTAAATCACTAGTGGCTGCGAAGGTGTGTGACAAAGTTGCCAAGAGATAAATACTTCACGTGCTAAGTTGTACGAATGTTGCGCGCTCCCTTCGGGCACCCCGGTGTTCCGGCAATTTCGTTTACAGCGAGCTTGTCCTGCCAAGACTGTGCAGAGCCAGACTTTTTCCCGTGCCACTGTTCTCACAGGTTCAACGGGAATTGTCGGGCAGCGCCTCCTCGCCATTGTCCTTGACAGCAGCAGCAAGGCCTAGGCCAATTTGCTTGAGCGTATTGAATAATCGAACTGTTGTCTATGGTTCTCTGCACACTGGGGAGTACACCAAAGTCTGCCATTTTGGGAGTGCCATCAGCATCCAGCAAAATATTGGCAGGCCTTGCTACCGCGCATTGGGGTCAACCAACCGCCGAAAAGCACTGCACGAAGTTCTGGTTTGACGCATGCCATTGCATGCCTGTGCACAGTCAAAAGGGGTAGTAACGTCCACATTCTACTGGGGAAAGCGAGGACAGAAAGAATATAAAGAAAGGAAAGAAAAGACACAGGGAAAGGGGGCGTAAGAAGCATTCTTGTTCCTAGTTGCAGGGGTTGTGACGTCCATTTGAGGGTCTAATCGGATAGCCTAATGGTCAAAATCTGAATTCTCTAACGACGATTCCTTTAGGTCAAACTCCTCTCCTCTCGTCCGCTCGGCATTCCCACTTGATATCTCGATGAAAGGTCTTCGGGGTGCTGCCCACCATGTGAGCCAAGCCTTTGGCAGCACCTTCGCGAGTCTGTTTTGTTCAAAGTGAGGGAAATCCGAATATGCAAAGCTAAATACTGTTGCAAAGGAATAGAAGCTGCTAGTAACAAGGACGCTATTTGGTGCAGGCCGTCGCAAGTAGGTTGGAGGCCACCGCTACTAGGAACAAGAAGCTGCTAGTAGCAAAGGGCATACTTCTCAATTCCTAATCTTAATGCAGACCTATGCCGATGCCTTGCTCAGCCCCTGGAATGCTCAAGGGTCAGAGATTCGTGGGGACCCAGTGGGGGGTCCAGGGGGGGGGACAACTAGGGGTCCGAAGAAGGGTCGGGAGTCCAGGAGGGGGGCCAAGTAGGGGGTCTATAAGATGATGTGTGCCTCTTGTGGGAGAAGAGGACGCAGTATAAGGTGCCCAATCCAAGTCTTTTGAAACAACAGAATCGGGATAGTAGCGGAAAATATAGCAAAGGGGAAAAAACAACACCTCAAAAATATTTCTCTCACCGTCCAATTTCGATGCTTGGTGGTTTCCAACAACTTGCCTCTATTATAAGATAAAATATTACATAGGAGCAAGGAGTAATTAACGATTG